TATCTACCTTGAGAGTGTCACGAAACAAAGGAGTGACCACGCAGGAGGTTGGCAGTTATGACGCACGATCGATGGATTAACCTGCGTCATTGTTAAACTCGAGCCAAATATACATGTCTCTTTTGAGGAGGAACTATTCTCCAACGTAGTACGGCGTAGACAGAACAGAAGCGACAGACTCGCCGTATTTCACCGTAACAGTGCGCACGGTGCGTGATCTTTATTGATACGTTTATATATCTAGACAGACACCAAGTGTCTCTACAAATTAACCAGAAATCGGTTAGTACAGGATACCCTTTTATGTCTCTACAGTTAATTTGCAGATTAACACTGCCTAGTGCATATATATTACTATAAGACTAGCTATACTAACCACTATTACCCAACTATGCATCCATTTAAACATCTCGGGAATGTATCCACATGTCAGGTGGGACTTTTGTAGGAGGGAATCCTATCACTAGTTTAAACCCACCTATAACCTGCTGGTCCATTATTGCAGGGAGCAAGTTATTATGAAATATTATTATAGAGACTAATCCCAGTATTCCAGTTACTGTTATTGCTGATCCTTGGAAGGTGCCACTAGCATAGCGTCGCACTATCGTTTTCACTACCTATAGAACTGGCATTCTTGCTTGGATTCTGATTTAATCTTGTAAATCCTCATTAGACTCACTTGGCTTTTAACGATTTTTGTCTAGTCTTCTTATTACCTGTGACTGATGCCTTGCCCTTCGGCCATATGATTAAGTTCTGTGAAATATCACCATTGGGATAGATCTACAAGCTCCAAATTGGAATAGATCAGCTTAGAATTAATCTCTTTATGTTGTGTGACGGAGTCTGCTGTCACCAGTTTGGATTGAAGTTTGTGGGCTTTCTAAAATAAAAAATTTATTTTTTTTATTTATTTTTTTTTTTAAAGGCAAAGTGCATTACATGCGAACTTTATTAACTTAGCATTGAAGTTACAATCATTACATGAAGAGTCTGACTAACTATATTAGCTATTCTAACCCTAGCACCACCTCTAATTCTAACCTGGCTACCAACTAACACCCCGGAGGTGGGTTTGCAATCCAGGCGTGGTCTATTCAAAGGGCATTTTGTTACTTGCCACTGTCATTAGGGTTCTTATCACGTCTCACCTATCACCACCTAACCCTAGCTGCAGCTTGGACTGATTGATGCAGATATGTACTCCCTAGCGAATACTCCGGTTTGCCGCCAGTTGGACACTACCAAATCTAGGGGCCATATAGCCAAATGGGGTGTAACTCCTTAAGGAATAACCCTTAAATTCCTAGTAGACATTCTGTTACGGGCCGGTTGGTGTAAGCTGCCAAGCCTAGGGGTATAAATACCAAGCAGGACGCAACTCCTACATACTCTGTCTTACCACATTGTCTTTATACAGTTCGAGGGCTGCTTACCGGTAGAATGATCCTCTTCAAAGTTGCCTAATCAGGTTAAATATAATTATTTTCAAATTATACTTAATATAATATCAAGAAACAAATCTATAAAAAATTTTTTTTGTTATCAATTTATAAATTATCTTTTATATATTAGTTTAACTTAATAAAAAAAAGTTTTTTTTTAATTAGAAAAATCAAAAAAATGTTTTTATTTATTATATTTGATTATTATAAAATTAATATTAATTAAAATTAATTAAAATAGAATATAATTTGGTTTGTATTCAAATATATTATTTTTTTGTTTCAACAATTATTATAATATTAATTGAATAATTATTGTATTATATTATCTTTTATGAAAATTAATTTCAATATCTACTGGATTAATATATAATTATAATATCAAATATTATTTTTAATTTTATTCAACTGTTTTTATATAAAGTTGAATTGATATTTTGTAATTTGAACTTAAAATACTGATTACTATGTTATTGATCTACAGATTACAAGATATAAACTTTCAACTGATAATATAAATTTATTTTATTGAAATTCAGATTTTAAATTATCTTAAAAAAAAAAATTATAAACCAGACCATGTCTTATATTTTCTACTAGTTATATAATTATATATATATATACTGTATATATACAGTAATTGTTAGCTATTGTTTACTTTTTTGAAAGATTTTAAAATTATAAATTAATATCTGGTTACTTAAAAAATCATATTATTTTTTTTCATGAAAATGATTTAAAAACAAAATTTTATGTATACTGTTTTTGCCAATCGAATCAATGCTCGCCTGATTGAGAAAAAAGATTCTTTGTCAGGTTACCCAAAAAAGCTACTTGTACGATAGGCGCAAGAAAAGCCACTTATGTGATATTCGGAATTCACGCGGAAAGAAACAATAGCATTTTGCGATTTTTAGTATATTGAACACCACAAAGTACTGCGTTGAAGTATGTACGATACAATTAATTGGTGTTTATTGCGTTTATTTTGGTTTTTTCACGAATGGAGTCTTCATTGTACGTTCTCTTGTGAAGAGAATGAAAATCGCGATTAGGACAGAAACGGGCGAACTCCATAATCTGGAAGTGGATTCACAAATTGAATTGGAGAATGTTAAAGCTTTGATCGAGGCAGAGGTTTCTTAAATTCATTTTCGTTTTTAAAATTTGTTTTTAAGTCTTTATAACATTATCTTTTTTAGACAGGAACACCACCGACTGAACAAATAATTTCCCATAAGGGGCAAGAAATGACAGATCTAAAAAGGACGCTTGAGCAGTATGGAGTAAAGCAAAACGAAACATTATATCTTAGAAAAAGATCGCCTACCGAGGATGTACGTACAGTTCTTTCGATTTTGTTAGTTTGGATAATATTTTGCGATTAGATTTTTCACCGCGTCATTCTCTTGCGAAGAAAATAAGAATTGCGATCACGACAGAAATGGGAGACCTTCATAATTTAGAAGTGGATTCGCAAATTGAATTCGAGAGTATAAAACCCTTGATTGAGGCCAAGGTTTGTTAAACTTGATTCATTATTTTTTGTTTAAAGTTTATTTTTAAATTCATCATTGTTTTTTAGACGGGGATCCCATCATCTGAACAAACTATTTCTTATAATGGACAAGAAATGACAGATCCGAAAAGGACACTCAAGCAGTATGGCATAGTTCAAGACGAAATATTGTACCTTAGAAGAAGGTCCTCTGCGCCAATGCATGTAGAGCAAATGCGGCAGGCACTATTGAATGATCCTCGCATGCAGCATCATTTAAATCAAGTAAGTGTATGTCTCATATGATTATTAATTACTCTTCACTAGTTTATTTCATAGTTCCTTTTATTTACAGACTCAACCGGAACTTGCTAATGCTGCAAACGATCCAATTCGATTTGCAACGTTGATTCAACGGATGATGCAGCGTCAACAAGAGATTGTAGGGTCGTAGGGTTATATGATTGTTGAATTTCAAATGGCATATGTAATCGGCAATTCGTTAAAACTTTTGTCTAAAATTTTTAGAGCTTACTTAATGAAGAAAATGAAGAAACACAACGAAGAATCGAAGAGGAAATAAGAATGGAAAATGTAATGGCTAATTTAGATGCAGCCATAGAATCTTTCCCCGAATCTTTTGCCCAAGTAGGCTTCACTATAAAATTCTTCAAGTCTCCGTTATACAGTATTTCTGTACCTTATAATATCTTCTGTAGGTAACGATGTTATACATTGATGTTAAAGTAAACAATCACCCGGTGAAAGCCTTTGTAGACTCTGGAGCACAGGAAACAATTAGTAGGTATAGTGGGGGATTCGAAAATTTATTGTGATCATATTATTTATGATATCTAATAATGAATAATAAATAAAGTGAGTCCTCAATGCGCTGAAAATTGCGGGTAAGTATGTTGTTTTATATAGTGGTAATTTTTATTTTACAATTCTATATGTTAAATCATTCATTTTTGGGGAACAGTATTATGAGACTTGTTGATACTCGATTTAACGGTGTTGCCGTAGGAGTGGGGACCGCTAAGATTTTAGGTAAAGTTCATAGATTCCCAATTCAAGTAGGCGAATATTTTTTGGAATGTTCGTTTATAATTATGGAGGTTGGTTTTTTTCTCAACTTTAGCCATCTGATATTGAGATGACACGTGAATAATGTGTTCTTATTGTAGGGTCGGGAAGTTGAGTTGTTGTTTGGGTTGGATATGTTAAAGCGTCATCAGGCATGTTGACTTGTAAAATTAATTTTAAATAGAAATTTTTAATTTAATACTGCTACTATTCAACAGGCATGTATTGATTTAAAAAAGAACGCGCTGATTATCAATGGAAATGAGATTCCCTTTTTGCCGGAGCATGAATTGCCTAAAAAGGCACGAATAGAGGAAATGAACGAGGATATACGACATGAACCAAGCGCTAGCAGCAGTACTTCCGCACAAAATATACCGTTTTCACCGACTTCAAGTACAACTGCAAATACAACTGCAAATCCGTCTTCAAACCCTTCTTTACCTTCAGGTAGGATACATTGCATTACTGTATTCATATCGGTGAATTAATCTGAGATATAAATTTATAATTCTCTTGCTCTTTTACAGCAGGACAATCACGATATCCCGAAGAAAATATTAATGTCTTAATCTCGATGGGTATTTCAAGAGTTGAGGCAATCAAACTTTTGGATGCTACATCTGGCAATGTTGAGATGGCAGCAAGTTTGTATTTTGGATGAATGTTCGAGCGAACATTTTAATTAGTCTTGACCCTTATTCGTGATTCGCTTGTCAGTTTTATTACTTTTATTGTTATTTGGTTTAGGTGTTGATAAATTACAATTTATGAATTTTTATAACTCAATATCAGCAATTGCATTTCCATTATTCATATACTATGAAACCTTGTTCATTTTCCTTTCTTCAGCCGCAACAATTTCCTTCCATTGATCGGATCCAGGAGGAGCCTTTTGTTCTCTTTTATCAGTCATCGACACACCAGCAGTCGCAAGGATTAAAACGATTGTTAAAGCTTGTGCCATCATACGCGCCTGCACTACCTTTTGAGAAAGAGTTAAGTATCTGATATACGGAAGATCAAGGTGTATGAATAAATAAATATGAGGCTGCATTGCATTAATTAAATATGAATCGTATAAATCTCGCTCACTTATTCCTCGAGATATATGCTATAGATCCAGCCATGGATAAAGCCCAACTTCCACAAACTAAACTGTATCGATTCTCAGCAATATAATCTTTTATAGCATGGGTTGTTGATTGCCCCGGAGCGTGATGTTTGACGGGTTTATAATATCCGTATCTTTGCCTTTCATATTCTAAACCAGCACGCTCAGCAGAAATAATGCATGTTGCCGTCGCGCCTATTATAAACCAAAATAATTAGTGATCAAGAATAAGATGAATTAAAAACAGAATAAATATCGTACCAGATGTAACTAGGAATGTTTTTAAAGGCAACGTTAAATTTCGGTAGAAGTGAGAATAACGTTGCGCTACGAAAGAGAGTCCTAGAGCGACACCTAACCCAATAGCGCCGCCTTTTATTCCACCTTTTATAGTGGCATTATAATGTTCTGTTTAGGTGTAAAAGAGTAGTAAGAATTAATTCATTTCTTTAAGAAAAGATGTTGCTAATATACCTTCTTCTTCTTCTTGTGTGAGAATTTTCATTTTGTGTCACTGAGTTTTTAAGCAAATTTGGATAAACGTCTTTTTATGCTGTTTTTTGGTGATATCATGATAGAGATGGGTAATAATTTTTACTGTAAACAATGCATGACATTCCCGAATTTTATTCCAAATATAGTCAAAATGCGTAAAGGATTTACGCGATATAATGAGTGCTAAACGTAAATTTTTGTTTATTATAATTGATATGGATAATTATTTTCGAAGGTAGACCGGGAATTTTCTGGCGTGATCTTAAATTTATATTATATATTTATTGTTTAAAAGTTGGGTTCGAAAAATTATATCTAGCATTTTTGTTGCCTTCAAAAATAATTACCCATATATATAAAATATTTTATTGTCCGAAGCAAAGCGTAGGACTTAAAGGGTGATAACGAGCAGAAAAGGCATTTTTAATGTCCGACGATTTATATAATTAATTTGAAATTACTACATGTATATTAATTATGCATATTAATAAAACAATAAATATACAGTATATAGTATTTAGTAATTTAAAAAAATTAAAATTTATTTAAATAATTTTTTGGAACTTAATGGTTTCCATTTTCTTGTTTTATATATTTAAAAATTTTAGAATTTTTTAAAAAATCAAAAAATATATAGTATATTATAAAAACTTTTTCTAATATGCATATGTTAAATTTTATTTAAATTTTTTGATAATAGTTTTTGTCAAAAAACAAAATACTTTTACAAATAAAATTTATACTTAATAGCTTAAGAACTTTATTAATAATTAATATATTGAAATAATATTTTTATTAAAAATTAATCAAATTTAATAAAAGTTTTGCTTTTAATTAAATTAAAAAATTTATAACAATATTTTTTTTCTTATATTCTTTATTTTGCGATATCATATTTTAAAAATATATTTAAATAAAATTTTTAGATATTGTTTTTTGCTTTAATTTAATAATTATACGTTAATATTCTCTTTTATATTGTTAAAATTTTTTATTATTTTAATTAATAAAAAAATTAAAATTAATTTATAAGAAAACTTCAAAAAAATTTATAGTAAAAATTTATAAATAAAAATTTTGAACCTTTATTATTTAATAATTTTTAAAAAATTTTATAAAATAAATATATCCTATATTATTAATAAACTATTATTTTATTTAATAAAATATCAATATTATTTATTTTTAAAAACAAATCTGCTTGCAAAACAATTTAAGAAATAATAAATTTAATATATAAGTTGTAATTATAATTCCAAAAATCAGACTTGCATAGATTTATAAGATTTTAAATATTATCAAAAATTATATTAGAATATAATTCATATATTAAATTTAATATAAATCTGAAAATTAAAATTAAATCAAAAGACCTGTGGGTCCATAGTGTAGTAGTTAACACTCCACAGGTCAAATCACAAGATACCAGTTCGATCCCAGGTAAAGGCGGTTGATCTGAATTAAAAATGATATCTGGGACCATAATCTGTTAAGTCTTATTTCCTATAAGAAGTCATTTGCATACTGATTCAGTAGGATATTGGAATTGTGATCTCCAGAAAAGATATTGTGACGCAACGATCATCCAAGTGGTGTCACGATGATTGCCAGAAGTATGTCAATGGTAGTTGAGCAACATGATAAGTCAAGAGGCATGTGTTCAACTTCCTTAATCAAAACACTTCTTGCGTTTGAGTGTACAAACTGGGCTGTACTCCATCCTAATCAAACTCCGATCCGCTTCTTTTAATGGTGGTTAGAGTCCTAGCCTAGAATATCCCAATTCGGTGTAGAGCCTAATTGGTTTGAAAAATAATCAGTCACAAGTAGTGAGAAGAATCAAAGTCTTGTATAAGACTAGTCAAAGGTAGCAAGAGTGCGATCTGAGATCTGGGCGATAAAGTGAGAAGGCATTTGGACTAACCCTCTTAATCAAGATACCTTTAAGCAAAACTGGACCATATGGGTTAGGTAGTTTAAACTAGTGATAGGCATTCTACACCCTATAGGTCCCATCCTAGTGTCACATAGTAAAATCGCTAGGTGATAGGTTCCTGGGCATTAGAGTAAGGTGGGAATGTGAGGAATAATCTATATAGAATACATAGTATTAACTTGTACAAGTTCTTAGTGACATACTTTCATTGTTATATAAAGTGATATATATAATATAAATAATTATTATATAATTGATCTGTCATATAATAAAAATCTTGCGACGTATCATACTTCTACCTTATAAAAAAAAATTAAAATTAAATCAAATTGTTAAGATTCTTAATTGTAATATATTATATTAAACCTATAGTAAATTTAATATTAACTTAATACCAAAATAATATTATTAAAATTTTTAATTTTTGCTGATTATTCAAATATTAAAACAAATATTATTAAAATTTTTAAACTTAATCCTAAATAATGTTTAATAAAATACTAGAAAATTGTATAGTATTTAAATATATCAAAATATTATAACAAAATATTCAAATTTGTTTCTAAATTATAATTAATATTTGATATCTTTATTTTTCAAAATTAGTTTAATATATAACAAGTAAAATTAGTAAAGTATAGAAATAAGTAAAATATTTTTATATAGAACTTTAAATTAATATTAAAATAGTATTAAAATAGTACTAACTTATAATAAATTTAATATATAAGTTAAAATCCATTATATTAAACTTATAGTAAATTTAATATTGACTTGATATTAAAATAATTATATATATATAAATACTATAATTATTTTATATAAATTAACTTTTGAGTTATATAAGAAATTTGATATGCCTATCTTTTAAATATAATAAAAATATTTAATAAATAAGTTGTATTAAAACTTTTTTAAAAAATTAATATCTAATTTTATATATAAACCTATATTATCAAAAAATAAATAAATAAGTTTTATTATTATTATTAATTCTATTTGTAAAATAACTAAAATTTTTAATTATTATATTATAACCTATTAAATTTTTTAATCATTAGTATAATACTTATAAAATTTTATATTAATATTACTATTATATTTTTTTGAATATTATAGAATACAATTTTTTTGGAGAGAAGTTTTCTCCAGTAGGTAAATATTATTTCTTTATTTGTTATTATATATTGTAAGTATACTGTACATTGTGAAAGAAACAACATTTCTTAAGTGCATATTGCATACAACAAGTTAAATGCTAGTTTACCTACTTGATCACTATCTAACTAATATTGTAAAAAAATTTCAAAAGCAATATTAAAATGTTAAATATTGGAGTAATGGCTATATCTATCTATTTGATAAAATTTTACAAAATCTTTTGATTTTTTGAATATAAAATAAATGAAAAGAAAATAACAACAGTGACTAAAACTAAAA